TAGTTTGGTCTAAGTATCAGGTAATAAATAGAAAACAGCTGAAAATCAAAAATATATTAAAAATTATAAAACTGTAACTTTGACATGAGCTTATTTTAGTTTCTGTGTAGATTTAAAAAAATAAAATAATGCTGTCTAAAACCTGCTTCAATAATTAACTTTTGCCATAATAAGAGGTGACTGGAAAAAGTGTGTGCGCACGTGTGTGTGTGTGTGTGTGTGTTGTCCTTAGATACTGATCCTGGGCCAAGTATGAATTAGATCTGGCCTGCGATCAGTTTATAATTCATCAGATGAAAGTTTTCTGGCTGCGGTGGAACTTTTTAAGGGCAGGAGATTGACTTGAGGAGAAGCAGCCAGCGTGAGTCTGTAAAAATGGTTGGCAGAGCCACAGACTGTGAGACTTTTCCTTTTCTTAATTATCCACTGAGACAAGCTGTTTTTGCCACTAATGAGATGCAAAGCCCCCGTGTTGGGAGAAGTCACAGCCGAGCTGCTTTTACTGAGCTTCATATTACACTGGGAAGAAAAAGGAATAATTAGTTGTTGTTGTTTTTTTTTATTATTATATATTAACTTCTTATTTCCTGTATAATCAGGGGCGTTCAGGTGCAGCCGGACTGATGTCAGGTCAACGATATCAGACGCACACCAAACTAAAAAAGTCAACTTCAATCCAATCAAACTTTTTCCCTTCATTGTTTTTATATTTTTTATTATACAGGTCAGAGGTCAACAACCTGTGGCTCACGGACCACATGCTGCTCCTCAGGGTCTTAACATTGGCTCCCTGTATGATGATATTAAATATTTATAAACAGACCAAAGTCACTCTGCCACCCCCCTCACCTTCATGTGGCCCACATATGTAGACTGAAGGGTTGGTTTAACTCAGCTGTGCTGCTTATGAACAACATTAGTGGGGTTGGAGTCTGGGGTCAGCCATGTTTGTTTGGTATTAATCACTAATAGGATTACAAATAATTTAACAATTAATTGAACTGGTTAATTTAGACTTGAATTATTTCATTAACCTCTGCAGAAATGGTGGCTTTTCCATCCAGTCTGTCCTTTCTTTTATTTCAATGTTTTTATTTCAAAAAAAAAAAAAAATATATATATATATGTATCCATAGGTTCTTCTTCACTGGACTCATCATTGAATATAATAACATTTTTAAAAGGTGCCTTTGTAGCCCGACCAGCAGGGCGACACTGATTACCAGAGTTACATTGTAGCAGAAAGCATTGACTTTGTGTAAAAGTGTAATTATAGCAGCGGCTGTAAAACGCGCTCCTCCTTCAGCCTCACTCAAAGACTTAGGGCCATAATAAAAGAAAAAACAACAGCATTATTTGTCCCTGCATTTTACAGCTTCGAGAAGCAATTCCACTTTATGGCGGGAGAACTGGCCTAATGTGATTAAAGTGTGATTACGGCGATGGCTCCGAACTGCTGCGTTCAGGGCTGCGTCGGAACAAATGGAATCATTCAGCAACATTTTATACCAACTCCACTGACTTTCATTGTTATTCATAAGCTCATTATTGCAGAAACAAAGCTACGAGTCACTGCGTTCCTCTGCAGCGGCGTCGGCTCGACTCGCCGTTGCAGTGCAGGGAGTGAACCGGTGTCATGTTCACTTTGGTCGCCCGTTGTTTTGTAACATCCTAGACTTTCCTGCGTCCTGGGTTTAGAACATTACTTTTCAGACTCCTGTTGGGCAGTCTCTCTCTTCAGGTGTGCGTTTGTGTGTTTTCTGAGTTTCGGAGCATTCCTGGCTTTTTGTATGTTCGGTTACACACAAATCTGTCCTGTTTGATTTTACTAGTAAAACAAAACACAGCACAAAATCGCCAAACAGCAGAGATTCTATCATTAAAACTATCAGTTACTACAGAGACTTAATCTGAGACCTTCTAACTGTAAGGCAAGAGATTCAACCACCGTTCCACCATCCTGCCCAGCACATTAGAAATCAGTCGATTATTCCTAACTGGATTAGCCTTGGTGTGTTTCCCAGCTGCATATAATCAATTTCTCCCTGTGTTAGCGTTGTCCTTTTAATGGAATTTCATTTTCCTAAGTAGAAAGTTTTTATTTAGAGCCACAGCTAACAAACAAATCTGAAGGATCACAAACAAATCTTTTTCTTAAACAGTAAAATTATCCTTCTCAGAAAAAGAAAATGTTTTCCTACCTTTTTGGCAGACCTTGAACCACCTAACATCCAAACTGGCGTTTGACAAAACCCTGGATCGTTTACCTTCAATGGACCTCACCTGGAAAACTGAGGACCAAGGTGTGTGAGTGACTGATTGACTGTGATCCAAAAGAGAAGAAAAAAGAAAAAGGAGGAGCAGCAAAACTGGCAAACTATCAATTGTGAAAAAACAAAACAAAAACAAGAACCAAATGTTGTTTTTTCCTTATAGGTGGGCAGATGGAGGTGACATTTTTTTATAAAATTTTTTAAAATCATTTTGTGCAGTGTCTAACACAAAAAACAATGTATCGTTTTGGGTTGAACAGAAAATTTTTTATAAAATCTTTTAAAATCATTTTGTGCAAAGTGTCTAACACAAAAAACAATGTATTGAGTAAACAGTTTAATATGATAATAATAATAATAAATAAATAAATCTGACAAAGTTTTTCTTATTAAAAAGACCATTATTATATTATTATTAATTAGTTTATTTATTATTAAACAAAGACGATGTGGTCTAGCCCATCTTAAGGCCATATTTGGTTGTAGCCCGTTTTGTGAACACAGTGTGGACCCCTGGACCAGATGTTCCTATGAAACTGAATAACTTATTCATCTTTTGTTGAAAGAACGTCCAGGTTTGTGTGAACACGTTTGTGTGAACACTGTCTTCTGTGGTGGTGTAGAATTAAAGGTCAAAGGTCAAAGGTATTAGTAGTTGCCCCCTCAGGGTTAAGTGAGTATTTATATCTGTCAGATGTTGTAATAATGCATTTTTTCCCACAATGAAAAGATAAAAACATGCAAAACCGTTTTAATTTGAAATCCAAATTACATGTACACATATACAAGGATCCAGGATATTAGCATGTCATTTTCCAAGTACACAGCCAAAAAAACGACGAGAGGAAATGAAGAAAAAAAATTACAATCTGTACAGGTTTCATTTTACAGTGAGTATTCAGGTGGAGTACCAGAGAACACTAAGGCAAATCATCAGCAGACACACGGAGGGAACGTCGCCTCGTCTTCTGTCGGGAACCGCCTCAGCCGTTCTCCACAAGTTCCTCTGCTACAAAACCAAGGTCTGCTGACTCCCTTTTTTATTCACCATCAGCTGCATAAGTTACAGTGTGAAAAAAAGCAACAAAACCAGAAGAAAACAGAAGGTTACGAAGCTAAATGCTAGCATTACTGTACAAGTCTCCTCAGTCACTGCCAGGAGAACCCTAGTGGCAGAAATGTGCACTTTTTCTGATCAGCTCTGGGTCATTTCACATCAGTGTTCTCCTTCTCTCCACTGGTCAGCTTGCAGTTGATGTCTTTTTAGAATAAAACTTAATGAAGGCGTAAAATTTGCTGCCTCAGAGAAATTTCATATTTCCCACGAGTCATAAAGTCCTGTTTTCTAATCTTTTCCTGAAATAAAATTCAGAGGGTGAGTCACCGAATGGTCAAGAACGGCTGCAGTGATGGAAAGGTGGTGGAAAAAAACAGAATTTTTAAAAAACTGTCAGGAATAAAATGAAGGAATATGGGAAGAATATGTTTGAGTTTACATTAACACTACTGTGCAAAAGTATTAGGCAGGTGTCTACGCCCACCCCCCCCCGGCATTTGGACTTTTTTTATTTGGTCCCCCATTTTGACATGTTGTCCCCCATTCTGCGTTGTCCCCGTTGTCTCAGGTCTGTACAGATACTTTATTTGACATCATTTACATGCAGCGTCCCTGAGGGAAGTATGTCGGTGTGTCTTCTCAGACCTGTGACACCGTACATCCCTGCGCACTGCTGACAAAGTGCACATGGTGGTCAATGCAGACCAGGCTGCCCCCAGTGGTTGGTGTAATATTATCACTTTTTATCAAGAGGTTATCAAATTACAAAAACAAATATTTCTATGTAATTCTTTTAAAAAAACAATGACAAAAACAACGTCGAACATCGATGAAAATCCAAACTTGGATGCAGTAGTAGTCATCACCGTTCTCCCTCCATCCGTTCAGTTTTCATCTAAGTTTGTTTACATTCTTATCCCACACTTAACTCTCTGTTTCTGTGTTTCCAATGCCTTTGAAATTGTCTGGCTAAACATTTAAAAGGCTCTGCTCTAGTCTAATCAAAATGTGGTACCACTTTGTGACCTACTTATGTAGGTTCCACGTTTTCCCACTCAAACACAATATTTGGCCCACACAACTGTATTCATTGTCCCGACATCTTGACATGTTAGGGTTACATGGCGACAAGTCGCTCATCCACGTAAAGTGTCAAACCTCGGCCGACTTCCTGTGGTGTGTGTAGTCGGCTGGTTGTTTTTTAGTTCACTTTTATAGACTGCTTATAGTGTGAAACTAATAATTGAATCCACCCGGAACTATTGGTCTTCAACCCATTGATTTGTCCAAAGATGGGTGTAAAAAGAAGAGACAGTTTTGGGACCAGAGCTCTTAGGCCCAAAATGGAAACGTCACATTTTGGATTTCCAATAATGATCAGAATTCCAACAAGGCCTTTAGTGTTGGAGGATTCAGAAAGACTCAGGACGACCACGGTCACGGGGCAGAGGGAGTCAGTCCCAACTGTCCAACACTGGGCCATGTATGAAGACAACCATTCACACTTACATTCACACCAATGGCCACAAAAAAAATTCAACCTAATCCGCATCATATTTCTTTTGAAAATCCTATTTGTAAAAAACTGCTGCACAGACAGAGAGTTCACTGGAGATCAAACCAGTGACGTTCCGTGGTGGTTGCTTTTTACTTTGAGAAGAAAGACGTTTTTGTCCAGACATTTTCCAGAAGCCCGTGTGGCTGCCAACGCTGGCCGTTGTCCAGTCACTCTCTATTCCGTCTCTGTTCTCCGCTCATCAAATATACATACGCATCTGTAAACACAATCTGCAGCCGACAACAGCGATCACTCATAATTTATGAATCTTTAATTACTCGTTTCATTTCCTTCACCTCAGGAATTGGTTTGAATCGGTTCCACACATGCAACAGTTGTGGTGGGGGAGGGGTTGATTACCTCCTCTGTGGCGTCGACCTTTTTTCAACGTCGCTGCTTAAACTCAATGTTTCTCTTTTCATCTGCACCAACACAAATGGAAGTTGGGTTTTATTGTGGTGCTTACAACCACTCGCCTTCCGTAATTTGTCACTCGGCGAACAAGCTGAACTACTTTCCATTAATGAATGCGCAACAAGGACGAAGCGACGGAACATTCCAACTGTGCTGGAAATAACATTTCCTCCGTGATTCAGGGAAGTTATTTGAATTCATCACAGCGTCGAACGTCCCTGACGATATACGGCAGCGCTGCCTGATGGGATGTGATTGGAGTTGGGAGAACGTTTAAAAGCAGAGAGGAAATGAAAGCGTTTTGTGATATTGGCTCGGTTAAACACAGACACAGACACATTAACACCAGTCCACTGTTTCACTGCAGTCTCTTATTAAACTTCATTAAAGTGGGATCCATCATGGCAGCGTCTGTGTGAAATGGAGTTACTCAAATGATGGGTCGTGACCCCAGATTGAGTCACAGTGATAAAGCTGAGTAACTGCTGCAGTGTCCGTGTTAATAATCATTTTGTCCAGTCACACAGAGAAATCTTATCTTTACTGCGTTGTTTTTTTTTTTTTTAACTTAGTGAGATTTTCAATTTTACAACTTTTTTTTTTGAAACTCCACTGACTGAAATGGAACTGGTAAAATATGTGGCCTTACCTTCTGGGTGGGTGAACTCCCATTCACACACACATTCACACCATCGATCAATCAGGAGTAAACAATAAACCTGATCCCGTACGACTGGGAATCGAACAATGGCATACTAGGGGTTTTAGAGGTATTACCAGATGAACCGTCCGCCGCCAAAACACACACAGAAAACTCTTTGCAGAAGCAGAATCGTGATATTTTGTCCCAAACTATACTTCATGATTATAACTAACTATTTGTTCAATACACGAACCAAAGACAGGGAACAGCCCCGTTTCTATTTTACTGAAAACTAACTTTGAAATGTTGTGTTTCGACTTTGGCTCCAGACTCAAGGTTGTCTCTGTTTTTTTGTTTTTTTTTTTGCTAATTTGCAAACAAGGAATCTAAGTAGCAAAGTGCACATATGCCAATGGTTGCTCAGGCATCACCTGCCTCAATATTGACCCCTGCTGGAGGGGTAAATGGGGTAGAAACATTTAAATGAAATCCCATGTGGAAACGTCAGAAGAAACATGAGAGGCAGAGAAAGTTGTTGTTAGCATCTGTGTCCACATCATGTCCTTTTAGACTCCGCCCCTTTTATGTGATTCTTTGACATTTGAAGTTTCGATGTTTGCACCACTTCACCACTGAACCTCACTGCACTGCTGGGTTCATCTACTCACAGTCAAACGTGTTCTGTGCAGCTGTTATAATCTGACCATGAGTACAGGGGTGGGATCAGGTCTTAGAACGTGTCAATGCCTCCGAGATTCAGATAAAGACCCGATCAGGACTCAGAGCTGGAGAACTGACTGGAACATGATTGGACTGGTATCACAGAGATTACAGCAGCTCCAGATTTAAAACAGTGAAGAAGAGCCCGAGGTGGAGCTGAGTTATTGTTGCTGAGACTGATCGTTTTCTTCACTTCATCCTCGTGTGACATGAAGTACAATCACAGCTGTTGACTCAGCTGACAGCCTGCTGCTCCTCCCCTCCCCTACTCCCCTCCTCTAGACACCTGAATTATACTCTGAAGTAAATGGAGTATTGATTACTTCAAATCCAAATTTGTTTACTTATCATTTATGATGGATTATACATTAACTCGTTCTCTGTCTCTGTGTGATGGAAAAACAAGACGTATTAGACCCAGAGCTGATCACAAAAATGTGTTAAATATTTTTGTTTGTTTCATTTTTTTTTTTTTTTTTTGCAGTAATTTGACCCAAATCTTATAGTTGGCTTTGCCCTTCAGACCAGTGTCCATCCAGTGTGTTTTCAGTGATAATGATTCTTACATTTTCTCTTTCTCTCTTACACACACACACACACACACACACACACAAACACACGTAACGCAGTGAAACCCAAAAACACACACATGCACTTGTTACATGGCCAAACGCTCCTGGAGGGGCCGTCGTGAAAAACAGCAGGAGCTTTAAAGCAATGTACAGAAATGGAGACGGAACACAATCAAAAGAATGTACAAAAAGGCACGTTTGACCGCGGTGCTCCTGCTCTGTGAGATTCAAGTGGAAATGAGCGTCTGTCTGTCATGGCTGTCAAAGCTTGTAATCATCACAGAGAAAAAACATTCCCCTCCCAGCGCTCCCTCCAGGCTGCTCACATTTGTTAGCTCAAAAGCTAACGCTCAGATGATAACGAGCATCCAAGCTCCCCGCTGTCAGGCCCTGATAGGCCAGGAGTCAACATGGTCCCCAGTGTAATCATCTGTCCTTAAGAGGCAGCGAGTCACTTTACAAGCTGTCCTGTGGTAATACAGAAGTGCCGATCCCAAAACCCCCTTGTGTTTACCCTTTAACTTCCCCAAACACCCCCACTCACGCCTCAGCCGCAGAGCACAGGGTGAGGGGAGGCTACTTTCAGGACCTAATCATCCCCTCCTCCATAAAGATCAGCTAGCTTCCGGAACCGAGGCCCCCAGTCGCCGAGGTAGTCGTAGTCCTGGTCTCCGTAGCTGGAGGACGAGTGCAGGGAACTGAGAGAACCAGCAGTGGAGCCGCTGCCCTCGTAGTCGAAAACCAGCAGGGAGTCGTAGGGAGGAGCAGTGGGGTCGTTGTCTGCCGCCTGCAGGCCCTGTGGAGACAGGAAGGATAAGACAGAAAAGAAGAAGGTGAGCAAACAGGAACGTCAATGACGAGCACCAAAACTTTGGGCAGCGCCCCCACACTGACACTGAGGTTTGTTCAACCTGAAGAACTGCAACCAGATAAAGGTATTTTCCAGGACTTTTCCAGGATATTTTTAAAGCAGTGTTTCTCAATTATTTTCTGCCATGTTCCCCCTAGGGGACAGAAGTTTTTTCACACCCCTGCTCCGAAATTAAATACTATTGAGCACCTGGTAATATTTATTTATTTATCTGTACAAACCACTGCATGAGTTGCTGGAACCAGCATTCTGCAAACAATCCCGATTATTAAAATAGATTAATAAAATGAGCTGCAATGCTGCCATCTACTGGCTTTCACCTTCACATGCAGCTGTTTTTCCCCAAAACTATTTTTAGGGCATGAGGAGCGGTGGGGTCGTTGTCTGCCGCCTGCAGGCCCTGTGGAGACAGGAAGGATAAGACAGAAAAGAAGAAGGTGAGCAAACAGGAACGTCAATGACGAGCACCAAAACTTTGGGCAGCGCCCCCACACTGACACTGAGGTTTGTTCAACCTGAAGAACTGCAACCAGATAAAGGTATTTTCCAGGACTTTTCCAGGATATTTTTAAAGCAGTGTTTCTCAATTATTTTCTGCCATGTTCCCCCTAGGGGACAGAAGTTTTTTCACACCCCCTGCTCCAAATTTAAATACTATTGAGCACCTGGTAATATTTATTTATTTATCTGTACAAACCACTGCATGAGTTGCTGGAACCAGCATTCTGCAAACAATCCCGATTATTAAAATAGATTAATAAAATGAGCTGCAATGCTGCCATCTACTGGCTTTCACCTTCACATGCAGCTGTTTTTCCCCAAAACTATTTTTAGGGCATGCATTATTTGGCGAAACCCAGGCAATGAGTTACTGGGTTTTCATTATCGGAGGAAAAACCGTTAACAATTCTAGTGAAAACCCTGGTGGACATGCTTTGCCTAAACACTGCTACCACATTTTCATGTTTATTTGCATTTGATTTATTTTCACGTGGACCACCTTGAAAATAAATCACCGGCGTCGACTGGTCCTTATGTGATGTCTAAATTCACACGACAGTAAAAAATAAAACCTTCTCCATCCCCTGCCTGACTACAACTTTATTTTATTTTATGACATATTTTAATATCAATCTCTAGAATAATCTACTGTTGGTGCTCTGAGATCGATGCATCGACTGGATCCTTTCCACTGGATGAAACCTAATAAACCCGTTCCGAAAGCGAGTATTGTGTGAAATAAATCCTCCCAAACGCCTGTGTGCGCAGAATAAAGAACACGCAGCTCCAGCAGAAGTGTTTCTGTCAAATCCAAAGTTGAAAAAGTTCCATTAGTTCACTCCAAACCCTCAGAGGTTTTTTTCCACAAAGTGTTTGCTCAGAAGATCCGTCGGCTTCCGCTTCATTAAAAATCGGACACTGCCGCGTCTGCACCAGAGATTTAGCACATGACAGCGCAACAACCCACGCATCCTGGGAGTGAAAAGAGAGCGGGGAGATGAGGAGGTTACGGGAGTTTCACGAGGGCATCTGCAGCCACTCTGTAGTATTACGTTTCCATGGAAACAGTGTAGTAAATGTTGTCCATTCAGTGCCTGTGGTTTGTTATCACTGATGTCAAGTATTTGTTTATTGAACCAACTGCACATAAACACACCACATACAGAAGAACACACTGGCTTTTACTGCAGTACTCAACTTTACTACAGGACACCATGCTCTTGAATCTTTTTTTTTTAGCAAATTTAAATTCGCATATTTGACTTTTAGAAAGTTCAAATAAAATCTATTCACAGTAAACATGAGAAGTGACAGTGGAATCTAATCTCACCTTCAGCTTTTCCTGATTTTCTTGGTTGCCAATATTGACCAATCACAGCCTTTTTAGTGTATTTATTAAGATGCTAACATTTAGCTTCTCTACATTTCCTCTGATTTAAACAGAAAATAAATCATCAAACCTTCTCTAAATGTGTGCAGAACAGTGAAGCGACCGTTCAAATCCTTTCCAATTTTCTGTAAAAATATTTTTATCCACTAAGAAGATCCCTGTCTTCTGTTACCTTTAACACCAGTTCCTTTTTCCTGCAGACGGGCCGCTGCTTTCTGTTCTGAGCAGATGGAGCCTCATGTTGAGCCATGAGCTTCTGTTATTGTGTTGTTTTGTTTCTCCACTGAACAGGTAACTGCAATTCTCAACCCAATAAATGGCAGATTTATTGGGTTGAACACACGTGTGTGCAGATACAGAGAATAAAAATGATGTGAAATTGTATTTTTCACTCCATCAGAATGATTTGTTTTTCATTTTGGCCATGACGGCAGTTTGTCCCTCAGAGAAACTCCTTCTGCTCTGATGAAAAAACTGCACATGTTATGGACCGGATTGGTGAGAACTCTGAAACCACATCCAGTCCAGTTGATCCTCCCTCCTGACCAGATCAGGACCTGGACACCGCGGCGCCGTCACACATTTATTGGTTGACCTTAAAGAAGTCCGGGGTCATTGTGGAGAATTTCTCCACCAGTGACAGTGACATTAAGTTAAACGCTGACACGTGTCACTCTGACGGACAGGTTTTGTCTGCTGAAATACTCTCCTGCACCTGTGGGTGTACGGTGGTATTGCAGAGGCTCTGCAAACATTTCATCAACCCAGGGGCTGAGATCAGGTCAACGTCTCCCCAGACTGAGGGAGATGATGTGCAGGAAGGATCCACATCACAGAGCAGCAAGACTTTCAACCCAGTTTGACTGTAACTTTTTAATAACTGCAGAGTGAATGTGCTTTTTTTATATATATACGAGGGTTAGTCGCAAACAGTTCTAAGATAAATGGTATATATTTCCTGATATAAAATTACTTTTATTCACCTATATACATACCAGTACACGTAAATATATATACATAAATATGTACAATGTACATACATATGTATGTATACATGTACATTTATACATATGTATATACAGTACATACATATGTACACACATACAGTATATATACACCTATATATGAGGTTATTAAAACATTTCTAAGATAAATGTTATATATTTTCCTTGATATAAAAATAATGTTTTTATGCACATAGACTATATACATACATATATAAGTAATTATATATATATACATATATTTAATGTTTATATATATATACATATGTATGTATATATGAACATTGTACATGTATAAATACATACAGTACATACATATGCACACACACATATATAAAGATATATGAGGTTATTCCAAAAAGTACTAAGATATAAAAAATGATATAACCAATTAGGGAGAACATTTACTAAGTATTTGTTGCAGTCCAATTGTATAAATACAACTGCAGTTTCAGAGAATTGGACTGACAGCTCTCCACTCCAGTTTTAAAAAAACTCACACACAGACACACAGACACACACACACACACACACACACACACACACACACACACACGTCTTCTGTGAGGTCAGACATCTGATAAACAGCCTTCACCGTGGCAGATAAACGCCGACAAATCTTTCCTCGTTATAAACTTTTTGTGACATTATGCTGATGCTGCAACAATTTTTTTTATTTTTTTCCCCCCACTGCAGGCACTTTTTCCCCATTTTTGGACTTTCCGCCGCATCTGAAAGGAGGAAATATTTTTCCTAGATAAGTAGGACTCAATCAAATGTCAGCCTTCTTATCGTGAGGCAGCGTAACCTCTGAGTTACCCCTCCCACTCCTCTTCAGACCCAGATAACAGGCACAAGAATGGGAATGAAGGAGTACAGAGTGACTGTATAATCAGTGTGTGTGTGTGTGTGTGTGTGTGTGTGTGTAGATGGACAGTAGGGAGTGCTGCTGGAGAAAAAAGGAAAGGAGGGATTATGGTAAAACGTACATACAAGAGTGAAGGATTTGGGTCAGGTAAGACAGATGATGTTTCTATCTGGAGAAAGAGATTCAGCAGATTATCCAGAGCAGCCCGGACCTAAATCCTCCCCCACTCCCTCCCACATACATACATGTTGTATCTACACTGTTTTTTTTTTTTAAGAGCTCATCCAGCCTGAATTTACCGTCCAAACTCAACATTCTTATTAAACCTGCGCTCCGTCCGACAGCCAGGAATACGTCGGCGTCTGTTTTCTCTGCACTGCCGAGATGAAAGCCGTAAATCTGATAAGCCGTCGCTGTGTTTGATGGGCCACGTCTGTCTGTAGACACTCTGTGCTTCTCTGACACTGAATGGGAGGAGAGAATTAACGCAGGGAGAGGGGAGAGGCGGGGCCGGGAGCGTCAGCCTGTCATGTCTGCCGGATTAAGCTGTCTAGATCGGCTCGCTGTGTCTGATAGCTACCGCTCATTATTCGTAGCTGTGCTTGGCAGATGTCTTTATGCAGCTCGGGCTGTGTATAAACACACATACACACACACACATACTGGTTCTTGCTTTTTATGAGCGCTTGAAGACACTCTGGCCTCCCTGCCCCCCCACCCCCACCTTTAACCTTAATTGTTTTGAAAATATCGCCAATGATAACCCTGATCCTGACACCAAACTCAATCTCAAACCTCAAGGAACCGTCTCACTTCAAGGGACCGGAACGATGTCCTCACAAAGACAGAGTGCCCCCGCCAGTGTAGCTGTACAGAAACGGCGGACGATCGTTCACGTGTTCCTCTGACTTGTTATCAGAGCTGCTGACAGAAGAATTCAGCCTCATTAACTCCATCCATTAAGTCACGCAGTCATGTGAGAGAGGGAGCGAGAGTTCCACTTCAGGGGAGACGGTTAAAACAAACAAACAAAGAACATCTGCTGGTTTGAAGAAATGATCTCACTCATGTTTAGTGAAAGTTATTTCTATTTTTTTTATAACTATAATTTGAATCTCTTGGTCGAGGTGCTCAAAACACGGCCCACACACCTGCGTCCCACTTCACGATTCCCAACCACGGTTGGTTGCATTACAACAACTAAAGCGAGTAAAATTGACTGGGTCCAAATGTGTTCCGTCAACAGGTGGTAAAACCTTAACTGTTCCAACCCACGTATTTTGCAATCATGCGTCTTAGATGATTCATTTTAAGCAAAACGCTGAAATTCTCTGTGAGGTTCAAAATGCCAACGTGAACCGGCCAACGGCGTTCCATTTCCATTAAACAACAGCTGAATCAGAATTCCATCCTTCGCCGCCCACAACCATTGCAGCCCACATTGGAAGTCAAATCCCAGAAATTGTTTCAAAGTTTCCAGACAGGATTCCACCGTCACCTCCTTTTCCTGTTTTTGTTAACCTCTTCTTCAGTGGTGACACCAGGTCACGACCTGCTTCTGTCTCGTCTGAAATCCAATTTCTTTCAAATAAAAATATTTTGTAATAACATTTAGAAAAAAATTAACTAGTTTTTATTCAGGTTGTATTAAAAAAAGTGCTGTTTTCTTCATAATAAATAAAAAACCTAATCCAATACCAGCTAACGCAGCTCAAGGCTCTGACAAAAACATCAGGATAAAAAGTGTCCAAATTATTGGCGGCGCATGAAAAACTACTCATTTAAAGATTAAAATCACAAATCTTTTTTAAATGAGAACATCAGTCTTGGAACTTTTTTGACTCAAACAGCCTAGAACCAGAGACCAGTGCAGCCCGTGAACGGAGACGTCTCCTCCACGCAGCGCCGACTGCATCATTCATGAGGGTGGTGGTTCTGCACAACTGCTCTTCAACTGCTCTCAGCTGGACTCCTGGCAGACACGGTGTTGTGTTTAATAAATGTTTTAAACATGCTGTCACTGCGCTGCCCTCTGTCTGTGGCAGCAGTGAGGAAGAGGAGTTCCTCTTTCATCACGTTCAACCCACTTTTCCACGGCTTCAATTCGACAACAGACAGAAATGCAAACCCTTAAAAAAAAAAGAAAAACAAGGGTGATTCGGTGACGATGAGCTGTGACGGGACCTCCAGCAGTGATTAGAGAACGCTGGCTGTTACAGCCTCACAAATGGAATAAACAACGGGGTGGAAGAGGAAACAGCAGCAAGGAAGACACGAGTGGACGGAGGACGAAGAATATGAGAGAAAGAGAGAGAGAGAAAGAGAGAGAGAGAGCAGCCAATGATGGAATCCCCCCCCCACACACACACACACACAACCCTCATTTAGTTACAATTAGTAGTTCCATAGTATGCTGCCATGCACATCTGCCTTACACACACAAGGTCCTGGGTTCGAGCCCCAGAGGAATCACATAGTTGGCGCCTCCTAGGGGCAGCCTGTCCCAGCCAAGTCAAAATTATAATTAATTATAATTATTTATTAATTTGCCTTTGATTTGCGCCCCCAGAATTAGCTCTGTGACACTAAAGGTGTCCCTGACCCCCTTTTTTGGAAACCAGTGATTAATCTTTTATTTGTCTTTTGTTTAAGTGAGTTCAATATTCTAAATGAAAAAAAAATATATATATAATTCCTGCAGTTAGGCCACTGGGGTGACTCAAATTTTAGTTGAGTTTTTTATTCATCGCCTGTTGAGTTAAAACCTGACCACAGATTTGAATTTTAATTCAATTCTGAAGCAGTCACTTCCTGTCATGTTTCAATTAACAACGGCAAACACAGAGTGTGTCGCTGCCACTTAAAAAAAACAACAACGAACAATTCCACCTCATCGTCTGCCGAGGGAAATGTCAGCTTCTTTGCATAAATTAGTAAAAAAAAAAAGAGTTTGTGAAGCTTTAAGAAGCTGTGAGTGGCTGGCAGCCAGTCTGTGAGATTAACTTTAACTCAATGGATTTACCACCAATTAGCCGTCCAGGCTGTGGTCACGTCTGAGGGTCGACTAATCCTGACCGTGAGCAGAGCTCAGAGGCGTTCACCCCGGCTCTGTGGTCTCTGCTGCCACTTCCTGTCCTCTGTTCAACCCAAACTTTTAGTTTGGCTGATTCCAAACATCGTCACCTCATATCACATCACATCATGTAGCATCCCATCACATCACATTCTATTCCATCACATGACTGATGCTCACGTACTTCAGTCAAACTGATCCTGGACCTGTTTTAAGGTGGTGTTAATTCATGATTAGCACCAAATGAGCTCCACTGATAAATAAATATAAGCTCTGCCTTCTGTTCTACAATTACCCACAATGCACCAGCTAGAAGCAGCAGCTGTTTGAAGAGCAGTTTGAATTTCAGTGTCCCTAAATCCTGTCAGATGACATGAGTGAATGCTCACATCAGTGTAAACCTGAGACGTGGGCCACTCTGCTGTGACCCACACCAGATCTGCAGATGGAAAGGTTTACTTACACATGATCCACACAGGTCAAAGAAAAAAGGAAAATCCACTCATCAAAACAGAGACTTTTTTCTCAGACATTGTGTCAACTTTTCTGGTCTTTTTTTAAATTTTTTTTTTTTACCAGATTCAGGATCTGAAATGATCTGCACTCTCACTGAGACATCAGAGCACAAAATAAATCCTCAAAAAGCTCGTCGGTTTATCGATCAATAAGCAAACTCTTAAAGAAGTGTGAGTGGAAAGGCACCATGTTTATGGCTAATGGAGCTCTCAGCTTGTTAGATTGCAGCTCTGTGACCCATTCACCAAGTTTTAATAACAGCAGGACTGGACCTTGACTCAGGTTCAGGTTTGTGAATCGTCAGCCCAGTTCTTGTGTGTTTTTTTTCGTACCTCATGAATGAAATCACCAATGTCTCCAGGATGGGGTGCACCGGAGCGGAGGGGGTACTGGTGGTCGTGATGGAGGGGTCTCTCATCCAGGCGTCTGATTCCCACTTTGATGCACTCTGGCTCCAGGGCATCAGGCTGCTGCAGTTGGCTCAGGTCGTAGTCCTGAAAAAGACAAGAAGACACCGCGGTTATTGAGAGAGGCTACAAAAGTCAGAATCCACTGGTTTCTAAAGCAGAAGGTCTGGAGAGAGTCTGGAGTATCAGTTCATCCATCAACCTTGACAGAAAAATGACCTGATTTTAAAAGAGTTCCAGGCAGAAAAATCTGTCAAAAAAATTAGTCCTTGTATTTTCATTAAAACTGTGTGTCAAACGGGGGCCAGTGAAGGAAAAACATCAGAAACCTAGCACACAGCCTTGAACAATGCACGGCACAGGCTCTGTAGTGGTTTAGGGCAGCGTTCTACAGCGGTTGGTAAATCTATAAAATCCACAACTGGATTTTAAAATAAAGATCAAATAATAATAATGTTACACAAAAATGTGATTTTGTTAAAGTGTCAGTGTATAATACTGCAAAAGTTCTTGTAAGTAAGTAAACACATCGTAGTGATGACAATACCCGGCTACACGTTTTACATATTAAAAAGATAATAAATCTCATAAATAATGATGTTGAATAATTAGGATATGTATTTCATATGTATGCAGTTCAAGACAGAATATTAACAATTCAAACAGTAACGTTTTCAAAAACTGTGGGCTCCTTCATATTCCGCGACTCATCGACTCAGTCCTACAGACAAACTCCAGCGAGTTTCTGTAACTTTAACTCTGTTTATCTGTGTCGCTGCCGTCTGTACGTTTGTGTTCCATTAAAGCCGCGATGAAAACTGCCAGTTGTCTGCAGCAGTAAACAAACAGGGAAATGAAAGGACGTGTGCTCGGTGCTTCTGCAGGTGTCTCATCATGAACTAAAGTACCAGACTAATTAAAAGTGACATCCCGCGGGTAAAGGAATTTTCAGAAAAACTGTGAAATGTCAGACTGTTCACACTGCTGCTGGCTGACGAGCGATCCAGAAATATCCAGTGCTGCTGCTGCTGTGAGAGTGTCGACTTGGAGACGACTCCATTCCAAGAGTTTTACTCCAGGATTTCATTGTCTGGTTAATTAGATCATATGATAAGTTAATGCATCAGTTTCCCGTGTTAGACTATTGTGTTTCATGTTTAAAATTCAACCAAACTTCTTTTTTCAGTGAATTGATTTGATTGTTGATCAAAGTCATTTGAAAGTTTTTATTTTATTACTATATACTATACATGTGTATATGTAATTCATATGTAATATATGTAAATGTATATATGCATATATATGTATCGTGGAATGTATAGTTCATATATAGATATGAACTTTACATTTTTGAATGAGAATGTTAAATTTTTTATTCATTCATTATTCTAGGATTATTAAGCATTTTTATAAAAACAAAAAATAATTTGTAGCCGTTGTATGTTTTGCCCTGAGGAGTTTTAATAATAACAAATTAATTTTAATATTATTTGATAGCTGTGATTTGAGATTCTATTATAGATCCGCAGCACAGTAATTACAACAAAATGTCTTCCACTGTTTTGTGCTGTTGTTTTATCAAATTGTACGATGTAGCAACTATTGCAAAAACAATAATTGTATCCCTCCAAATACACATCTGATGTATTAGATATGGTACTTGTATAAAGTTTACAGTGATGTGTACACATTTTTGACTACTGCACACATTTACTTGATTTTGCCCTTTTTTTTTTAAATCAGTTTTGTTTTTCACTTCACAAGTTTTTTCAGGACAAGGAGCAGCTGGAGCAGAGCAGCCAGGGCAGAGAGTTTGTTTTCAGGCCACAGGGAGGTGGCGCCAACTGTGACAGGTTCAGGTAATGGGTCTTAATTCCACTTTTGATTTTTTTTTTCACTTGAACTCATTAGTAAAATGTCTCAGAAATGGTCCAGCACAGTTGGAGAATATTATTTCTTCTCTACATTTGCTGAAAATACCTTAACAAAAACTGCCAAAAAGTTTGAGATTTAATATATATAAAATATATAAATATATATATTTATATTATATTTGTATATAATTTTGCCTTTTGTTCTTTTCCAGCCAGTCCTCTCCACAAGAACGTATAATAACAAAAAAATCTATAATAATAATAATAAATATATAATAATACAATTCACAATATATACACATATACATACATACATATATAAAAAAGGAACATGTTGTTGATTAGTCTACTGATCACTGAATACATATAGTAAAATTAATATTAGTCTTATGTAAATAGAACATAGTTCATTATACTATATATATATATATACATACATATATATATATTACAAATATATTGCAACTGGTGTCACAGATGAACGATGTTGTTCACTGAATGACATAATTCTCAGATAGGTATTAGAATACATTGACTCCAGTAAATATGTCAGTATCAATAATACTGACATATTTACAGTACCTGTCCACTGAAGTTGTATTTTTCTAAGACTAAAAATGAAAAGATATCTTTCCTCTAGGCCGCTCTGTGAAACATGAATCCAGCCTCAGACTCATGGTCTTTGAAGGACCATTCACACTGAGGTAAATTAAAGCCTGAGAAGAAATTAATTCCTGGCTTGAACTTTATTATATGACAGACAGGTTAGTTAGGGTTTGCAGATATGGTCTGCTTCATAATGCCAGGTGCACAGCACGCCGCCTGCCAAACACAAAGACAGCCAGTGCTCATTATGAACTTCATTGATTGATGAAAGCAGCAGCTTTTATCAGGACTCGGAATAATTCACTTAAAGCAAATAGAGCCATCACTATCTCTGTGGTTGTTCTGGATTAAACAGCAAATGCGGCGGGAATTTCAATGAGTCACATGAAAAGACCAAGCTCTGACACAAAGGCGACCCGGTCTCCTGGAGGCTGCGACCTCAGGGAGCGCTGAAGCTGAATCTGAAGCTTTTTAATTAGCATCTGCCTGGAAGAAAAAAAAAAAAAAACACTGCTTTTCCACCTTGTCTTTAACAACACCAGTGGGGCAGAGACTAAGTGTGTGTCACGGCCTCTGATTAGCTCATGGTGAACAGGACTGAGTCTCTGCGGTAACCATCCAGAAACCATTTCATGCTCCCCGGTCTCCACGGAAATGGACTAAAGCAAGGCAGCTTTTAGCACAAAGGCAGCAGGAGGTGCACTGACCTTGGACTTAGTTCACAGTAATGGACAAACGGCTGAACACTTTCCACTCAAGAGCAACTAAAAGCCCTGCAAAACCTCATATCACCAGTAGTCAGACAGACAGAAAACAATGGAGTCTCTGAGAGTGTCATCACTTCACGTTTGGACAGAGATTATGAGTGTACGTTATTAATGTCACAGCGAGTTTCTTATTTTTATGATAGGCTAAGATTATAAGATTTAAACATTTTATAATGGTAAGTAAAAAAAGTCATTTTTCAAAGGAGAGAAAAAAACTTTCACTTTTACTTCTGTAATTCTGTCAGGCTAAAATGTGGCATTTCCTCAAAATTGTTTATATTTTTGATATATAAAAACCTGCTCAGTCAAATTCCCATGCTGTCTGACTTTTAATGCCTCTATGCCTGCGCAGTAGGAGGCAGAGGTTCTGTGTTTTTAAAAAAACCCTTGAAGGTCAAGGGTGTGAGACGTTCAGCTTGCAAACACAGCTGACTTCTTCAACATGTT